GCATCACAGTGCCGTGGAATGCGAAAATAATTGACCAGTTTAGAGATAATGCTATGAAAATATATTAAAAAATATGTGAGTATTTAATTGAAAATTATACACTTAGAGAAATCTTTGCCAAGTATCCAAAGTTTGCCTACTGTGGGTAGAACATGCATGCGGTGATACCCTTCCCACACCATTGCATTGTACGCAAATTAAAATTATATGTAACTAGTTTAACACAGTTGTAAATTGCTTAGCTTAAAGTTCATTAAGAGTCCAGTACCTAGACCCTTTGTGTGACACTGAAACCATTCTCCCACTCACCCACATGATGGGTATGAGGTCCGTAATACCTTTAACTAACTCCAATTTCCACTCGTTGTGTTAGGGTATCTTGGGGTCACGCCGGCGATGTTTGATGAACTGTAAATAGACAGTTGATGCATATGTTAAAAAACTATAACTAGCTCATAAATGCTGTAACTTTCTTGGCTGAACTAAGTGTTAGATTTAGTTCCTGAGCCCACTCTGTACCTCTGTAACGTTTTGCACTACCGCTCACAGGATGGTTATAGAGTCCAATGCCACTCTCGGGATGGGTATGAGGTGCATAATAAATAAGCTAAACTAAATTTGGTAACTATTATGCTTTAAAATTGTGACTCACTTGATCGCTAGTGACCAGTATTTTAATAACTATAATGATCATCTATATTAGTACCCAATTACTTATCTTTCAACAAACTCCTTGGTAAATAAATTCGCAACGTTTACAACACACAGAGGTAGACGCAATGTCCGGGCCAGATTCACGAAAGCACTTACGCAAACACCTACGAACCTTGTACATCTTTTCTCAATCTTTGGCGGCTTTGTTTACAATTATTAAACAGTTAATGAGCTCCGAAGCACCAGGAGGCTGTTTATAACAATAACAACAGTTGAATGGGAAGTTTTCATGTTTGTAAACTGTTTAATAAATGTAACCAAAGCCGTCAAAGATTGAGGAAAGATGTACACGTTCGTAAGTGTTTGCGTAAGTTCTTTCCTGAATCTGGATGATGTATCCAAATAACACGTCATGATGAAGCAGCAGCTGAAATTACCGTCCTGCTGTGGTAGCCGTATCTTCATTCAAATTTATTACTTGGTTAACTAAAAATACACAAAAGTTATCTGGTGGATCTTTAGACTAAAACTTGGAAGGTTGATCTTACGAGCGTGTTGACTACGTTGAAGCTGACTACGTCAGCTGCACGGTGAATGAGATAATTGCACGTTGTGTTCAGTGATGTAATAATGTACTGTTATCCTGCACACTATGTTAAACTGGTGCTTGTGTGTAGCCTTAATACCTGAATGTTCATTTGTACGTATACTGAACTTGAAATAAATAAATAAGGAGTCCCCGGGTATAAATATGTCTATGTATATATATAATATATATACATAGACGACGTTGGTTTCCTTCAAGGCATTCTGCTTTGTGTCTGGAGAGTTTTTCATGAGTAGGTTTGGCATTTTTTTGGTTTTATAGTAAACTGTCAATTGACAATTTACTATAAAACAAAAAAACAAAACCCGGCCAACCTACTCATGAAAAAGTCTCCAGACACCAAACAGAACGCCTTGAAGGAAACCAACGTCGTCTATGCCTTCAAATGCCCACTTGGGGACTGTTAGCCCAAAAGATCTTAGTATATAGGCAAGACAACAACGTCTTTTTCCAGGCGATTAAAAATGCATAAACAACAGGGTTCCTTCAAGGAACATATAATCTCTTCTCATAACCAGACGATCACCAGAGAAATCTTAACAACACAGAAATCATCGATAGATACAGTGATAGCAGGAGGCTCGACATCAGCGAGGCACTACACATAAAAAAAGTCAACACCAGCAATCAACAGCCAATTAATTGCACAACTACATTCTACCCACTTCAAGACCCCACATGATGGGTCATGTGGGGTCTAGAAGCATCAAGAGGAAGTATGGGCCAATAGGCCTTTTGCAGTTACTTCCATTCTTATGTTTTTATACCCATATTGGTTCGTGTTCTATCATGTGTAAATGTCAATCACCTCACCCAAAACTTTTGTACCATATCACCTCACCCAAAGCGAGTATAAGTATGGATGTATTTTGTGTGTTTACAGGTTACAGTTGTGTGTGTAAACTAAAGTCTTTGAAAATGTAATGAGTTTTTACGAAACGCGTCAGACTAGAAATAAAAATTAATTTTGGAGAATTGATTTCTCAATTACCATCGACAGTGAAGAGAAACATAAGAAATATTGAGAAAATTCGTATTAGAATTAATAGTCTTACCTTTTCGGTCATATTCAACAACATATGTTTACAAGAAAGACTGCTACAAAAATATACTAATATATATATATATATATATATATATATATATATATATATATATATATATATATATATATATATATATATATATATATATATAATTTATTAGGGGGTACCACCTCAGGTGCATTGTAGGGACCCACAGCCTCGAAGAAGAAAATAAAGAGTATTCAGAGAAGACCTTGTGGATTTTCACTGAACACTTTAATTTTTTCCTCTCCTACCACCCCTATTTTTATTTTTTTATTTTATTTTATTATAATATATATATCTTTTGGTCGTCATAGGTTTAAGGCTGTTTACCAACCCACAAATGAGTGAGGAGTTATATACCGACTGTCCAACCTGTCCTCGTATAAAAAACGTCGCTTTTCGCTCGTATGCGTTAAATAAGGCTAAAAATTGTCGTACTAGAAAATGGAAGGGATTCGCGAAAGTGACGCACCGTCCCGTTTTCTGTTTTGGGTCCTCTGGTAGGTTAGAAGAGGACACTAATTTGACCCCTGGAAACACAAACCAAAACTGTCTCTATTTTCCGCTTGTTACAACGTGTAATAAAGTTGTTACATCTTGGCTTAACATGTTTATGATATATTAGAACGTTGTTACAACTTGCTATATTGGTTGTTATAACTGGTTAGTTGTTAAAACTTGTTCGAACGTTGTACCAACGTCGTAGTTTCGGTGTGTGTTTGGCGGGACCGTTTTGTTGACGTTGGGGAACCTTAAGAGGACGGACTGGACTGTCACATTGACGGCAACTCTTTTTTCCCTTCTGCTCTGACCTTTCCACCGCACTCAATTGTGGAGTTAATTATAGACTGTCAAGGAGATAATTAACAGATCAGATAAAGATCTGCCAGCAGATGAGTTTCCTCTTTGTTCTAAGTAACAATTAAGAGCGCACTGATTTGACAGATGCCCACATGGTAGGTTATACAGTAACTGAGATGGTGACACGCATCCTGACAAACAACACAATAATAAACAAACACAACGACAATAGAAGACTGGACTTTAGCGAGACATTATACAAACCAAGCCAATGTACCACCTCAGCCATCATGGAAACATAGGAGATTGGTAAGCTGCAATGGGCCTATTGGCTCATAAATGAGGTGCTTAACCTTCACCTCATCCCCGGCTAGATCGGCAGCATAGAAACTTGCAACCATTCCAACTGTCATTGATAATATTCATAAGGGTCAACGGAACGCATCTCTTAACGTCAGGCCACAATAACATTGTAAAATGAACTTTAGAGAGTTTATTTTTCAACTTCTTTCGCAAGCAAAGGGGAAGGAAATTATCAGGGGAAAGCACCAAGCTATTACGACTATATAGCACTGGGAACGGGTCGGGATAAGGCTATGGGCTTGGACAGAGGGGAAAGGAATGGTGCCTAACCACTAGGACGGTCGGGGATTGAACGCCGACCTGCATGAAGCGAGACCGGCGCTCTACCGTCCAGCCCAAGTGGTTGGGTACTTCCCATATAGTGTTATGTATTAACCCACAAATGTAAAACTCGATTCACTCATTTTCTAAAGTTGTCCGAAATGCTACACGTAATTATATATATAGTTGCTTTATAAAATATACAGTATTTACTTAATAACCAATGCAGCTTGATCCTGTTATTATTTTTTACCAACCATCCTGTGAGATGGGGACATCATAGGTGGAACTGATAATTCTTTTTGTTTGTCGAGGACAAATCAAAATCCAGCTTGCAAAAAAAAATTAGAACACATATGGGGACCTGCTTTGACAAGCCGCCGGCTTCCTGTCCTCGTCGAGGCCACTAGAATGTTAGTGGCCCTCAGGTAAATACACACACACGGTAGGTTTATATCGTACCCTCCCCCCACCCCTCCCCCAAGGTGGAATTACTGACCCTCCCCATGGGAGCCGGTCGGCCGAGCGGACAACACACTGGACTTATGATCCTGTGGTCGCGGATTCGATCCTGGGCGCCGGCGAGAAACAATGGGCAGAGTTTCTTTCACCCTATGCCCCTGTTACCTAGCAGTAAAATAAGTACCTGGGTGTTAGTCAGCTGTCACGGGCTGCTTCCTGGGGGTGGAGGCCTGGTTGAGGACCGGGCCGCGGGGACACTAAAGCCCCGAAATCATCTCAAGAGAACTTCAAGAAGAAGATGGCCAGTAGGGGGGGGGAAAGAGTCAACTGACCCTTGTTATAACCCCACAACACGTTGATTAACTCTTGGGTAACTATTTACTGCTAGGTGAACATCAGGCCCATTAGGTGATAGGAAACGTGCCCGATCATTTCTGTCTCGCCCGGGACTCGAACTCGGGATTTCCGATTGTGAGTCGAGAACGAGCGCAACTATATACTACCTACATTCCTTAAACCCCCCCCCCCATATTGACTATTGAAATTGAAATAAGTTTATTGAGGTATGTGACTGTGACTATATAAGGGTAGCGGCACAACTGCTTTGTACCTATAATTATAACAATAAAACCCAAAAATAGTTTACAACCATATTTAAGTTTTTCACATTAATTAATTTGTAACCATCCACCGTACTATTATGAATTTATTATAGGCAACCAAATTGTATTTGGTCTTTTACTGTAAATAAATGTATAAGAAGAGAGAGAGAAAGTGTAAATGTTGACAGTAGAGGGGAGGAGTGCGAGAGGTGGCCGCCGGGAGTGTCATCGCGGACAGTGACCAGTGTAGAGAGACACTGGAGGGAAGTGCCACCATGGCTCAGCCTCCGCCACTCTCTGCCAGTCATATAGGGTGAGGGGGAAGGCCTTGGCAATGTATATAACAGTTCAAACAACTTATTATCAGTTGTTACAGCCCCGCTCCTGTGCCAGGTAAATCCACTACGGGTTCACCATAGCCCGTGCTACTTGGAACGTGATGTTCCCAATAGCTGAATCTAAAATAACAATAACATGATTCTCAATAACATGACTGGAAAGGCATGAATGTCTAATATATGTAATGGAAGAAATGATCCGAGTGCCAGATTTTATTCAGCGTTATGATCTGGTTTCTTGATATATTTATTTTCTTCGTTATTTTCTATATAATTTTGGGAGACGGTAATCCATTGGGCTTAACGAAGACCCCCCCCCCACTCCCCCTCATCACCACCTCCCTCACTACTAACCAAGGTCGGTCACCAGTCCAATTTCTAGCCAGATACAATGGTGCTTTACTGTGCTGTATATACCTGTAAATTAATGCAGCACCCTTGACAAGCCGCCGGCTTCCTACCTTCGTCGAGGCCACTAGTGTGTTAGTGACCTTAAGGTAAATTCAGGTAGTACGATGTCTGAATATTATTTTTTATAATTTCAATATTTTAATATAGTATTAATATTGATTTAAAGGCCCAGCATAGTATTCATTTAAATATTATCAGTTACAAGATTATCATACAATTTCTACAAAATATTATTCAGTATCATAGTAGCGAGACTATTAGGCTACAGAACATCTTGTCTCGCAGTTTCTGGTTTTTCCCCCTAGTTCACTGCCTAATTACTAGAGTACCTTCCACTATACACTCCCTGATAAGATATGCTTTTGGGCACATGTGGTCTTGAAACCCACTGAGCCTAACCCAACCCAACTTATTCTAGCCTAACCCAGCCCAGCCTAGCCTAGCCTAACCCAGCCTAGCCTAACCCAGTCCAGCCTAGCCTAACCCAGTCCAGCCTAGCCTAACCTAAGCTATTACATCCTAAAATAAAGATGTATATAGTTTTGATAAACAGTAAATGAGCTGTCACAATATGTGTGTATGATTAGACTGTAGGACAGTCTGTAGGACATTGCTATTTGGTGCAGAAAAATATAACATTGTTTTGCTTATTGTAACAAACCAGAACACCTCAGATCAGATTACTTTTTCAGAGCTGCAATTGGAGAATTACCTAACATAGAGATTTTGTTATTGTTGATACATTAGATACAGGCCGTTTATGGATTCAGAAAAAAAATGGCTGTGCTTCTCATACAATATGGACAGGGAGTCAGTTAGACTTATCAAAGTTGCTTATCTTTTCAAGACCACCTCCACACCACTGTTTCCGAATATACTGTATCTATCCAGCATTGTGGGGTCTCGGTAGTACAGTCGGATTCGTTCTCGACTAGTAATCGAGCATTTGAGGTTCAAATCCCAGGCAGGAGAGACATGGTTGGATGCATTTCCTGTCACCTAATGCCCCTATCCACCTAGCAGTAAATAAGTACCTGGGAGTTAGTCAGCTTTTTTGTGGGGTTGCATCCTGGAAAAGGTCAGTACAGTACAGTACTGTAATTCAAGCCTGTGAGGGACCTTGTTATAAGCCTAACATGTACCGTATGTATAAACTGGCAAATTGATCCCCAACACAATGAATTATTTTTATCTAGGTGAAAAAAATCCATCGTGTCTAGTGTAGTTTTTATTTTGAGTTGTCTCCCATGATACAATACTTCTGATTAAAATATTCCCGTTACCTGATAGTTTCTCGTCGATATGTCAATTTTCTAGCCTCCGATCACTTGAACTAGTCATTTCACCAGATATTCAAATGCTAGTTCATAATTATCATTCATTTCAAAGAGGGCTTGAAATCTTATTTCCCTTATGTCTGACTGATTCATCTGATTTCCTCAAATCTGGCTGTAATTTATACCTTTATTTTTTTTTTATTTGTTGACATGCTTATTGTAGAAAGTTTTCCATTGCTATTTTCATTTATTTTATTTTCTGTGTAGCTGTGCCTCCATAAGACTCTCCTTTCTGAGTCTATCTTACCATGGTTCAAATTGTCCATTATTAACATTCTAGTCATATTCTATTTACAGTTGAAGGACAAAGTGTGTTGCCATGGTGGGAAGAACTGTAAACATATTTTTGTTGCTGTGGTGAATATCCTAGGTGTCAAACTGCAGTTGCAGGTTCCTCATACCCCTTCTTGCCCTTCTTCCTTGTGTGTAGAAGAGAAGAGCTGCTGCAACTCTCTCTTCCCTTGTCATGTTCCTCTGAAGAAATACCTGTCTTTAGCTTGGGACATGTCAAGGTTTTTTATTTCTTAGGATTTGCTCCTATGTAGTCATGTCTGCAAACAATCTTGGAACCTGAAATGATGTCATCTGCATGAAACTTATGGTCACTATATTGTATATGAATAGTGACACTAGTGAATAATAATAATAATAATAATAAAATTATAATAATTCATTGTGTTGGAGGGATAGGCAACCAGTATGTATATACATACAGTACAGTACATGTTAGGCTTATATCGAGGTTCCCCTCCCCCCCTCCCAGGGTCGAATTACTGACTCTCCCCAGAATGCAACCCAACAAAAAGCTGACTAACTCCTGGGTACCTATATCCTGTTAGATGGACATGGACATAAGGTGACTGGAAACACATCCAACCATTTCTGTCCCGTCCTGGATTCGAACCTGGAATTCTCGATTGTGAGTCGAGAATGAACCCGACTGTATTACCGGTACCCTAATGAATATAATATAAGTAAACCCTTTGTGACCCTTTGAATATAAGTAAAAAATAATATAAATAAAAAAAAAGGACCCTAATGAAAATAATACAAGTACATAAACCCTTTGTAAAATATTAGTGACCTTTTGAATATACTGTATGTGAAAAAAATTGAATTTGAGCAGTTGGCTTATTTATGTGACCTTGGTTTTTCACTGTGCACTCTATATAATTTGTAAGTGATTGATTATCATTTCTTTGGAAAATGAAGTTAATCTACTGTTATAGGAGTTTTGCCTATCTGACGGTGAAGGACCGCCTGCCCGTCATCCTTACTCGTGTTGTTGACTATCTCTGCAGGGAGAAGGATTTTATTGGTGATAGTTATGGAAAGGTGAGCTTTTTGGTACATTGTTCAGTGTGGATACTGTATTCTATTGTTTTTAAGAAAATAAATTTGACATTCCATGATAATATAATTATAAATACAGTACAGTACTGTAGTTTGCTTAAATTTAAATGTCTCACTAACAAGGATTTATTCCAGGCTGGTCAAGAGAGTTGTAAGGAGGTTATAGGACGTTTTTCTCAACTAAAAAACGAAATCCAGACGAATAAAGAACTTATACCAATACAGTCTCATTGTGAACCTTCTAGTCCGTATGGTAAAGTGGGTTTTCATTGTATTGTTTTACTTCTCAATTTTCTCATTCTTATGAATTGTACTCTTTTCTAAAATATAGTGCGTGTGTGTGTAAACTAACTATACATATACAGTATATATATATATTTATGTGTGTGTGTAATTACCTAAGTGTAATTACCTAAGTGTAGTTACAGGATGAGAGTTACGCTCGTGGTGTCCCGTCTTCCCAGCACTCTTTGTCATATAATGCTTTGAAACTACTGACGGTCTTGGCCTCCACCACCTTCTTCCCTAACTTGTTCCAACCGTCTACCACTCTGTTTGCGAAAGTGAATTTTCTTATATTTCTTCGGCATCTGTGTTTAGCTAGTTTATATCTATGACCTCTTGTTCTTAAAGTTCCAGGTCTCAGGAAATCTTCCCTATCGATTTTATCAATTCCTGTTACTATTTTGTATGTAGTGATCATATCACCTCTTTTTCTTCTGTCTTCTAGTTTTGGCATATTTAATGCCTCTAACCTCTCCTCGTAGCTCTTGCCCTTCAGTTCTGGGAGCCACTTAGTAGCATGTCTTTGCACCTTTTCCAGTTTGTTGATGTGCTTCTTAAGATATAGGCACCACACAACTGCTGCATATTCTAGCTTTGGCCTAACAAAAGTCGTGAACAATTTCTTTAGTATATCGCCATCCATGTATTTAAAAGCAATTCTGAAGTTAGAAAGCGTGGCATAGGCTCCTCGCACAATATTCTTTATGTGGTCCTCAGATGATAGTTTTCTATCTAGAACCACCCCTAGATCTCTTTCTTTAAAGATTTCTCACATAATATATAGGTTGTGTGGGGTCTATGTTCTCCTATTCCACATTCCATAACATGGCATTTATTAACATTAAATTCCATTTGCCAAGTGGCGCTCCATGTACTTATTTTGTCCAGGTCTTCTTGAAGGGCATGACAATCATCTAAGTTTCTTATCCTTCCTATTATCTTAGCATCATCAGCAAACATGTTCATATAATTCTGTATACCAACTGGTAGATCATTTATGTAGACAATAAACATCACTGGTGCCAGAACTGAACCCTGTGGTACTCCACTTGTGACATTTCTCCAGTCCGATACATTGCCTCTGATCGCAGCCCTCATTTTTCTATCAGTCAGAAAATTTTTCATCCATGTTAGAAGCGTACCTGTCACTCCTCCAATATTTTCCAGTTTCCAGAACAACCTCTTATGTGGAACTCTGTCGAAAGCCTTTTTTAGGTCTTTAGGTGTGTGTGTGTGTGTATATAATTTATTTATTTATTTATTAATATACATACATACATATACAGACAGTGAGGCCTCGATTTACGATGGTAATCCGTTCCCAGAGTCGAATCGTAAGTCGAAATGTCGTCGAAATCGTAAGTCGAAACAATTTTTCCCATAAGAAATAAAGGGAATTCAATTAATCCGTTCCACACCCTCCAAAATATTAACATTTCGGCTTGGTAACAACGTAGCATTGCGTCATTCTTTTACTTGGGGGTAGTCCGGTAACAATGCAGCTTTGCGTCGTTTCCGGCGGCTTCGGGAGGGGGTGCGCCACAGTTTTGGACATTATATGCATATACAGTACATCTGTAGGGAATTTCATTGCAAATACATTGATACCAAAATGAAAAACCTAGGACCAGAATTGAGGTAACAAAGTTGAAATAATACCCATTTTATTGCTATTTATTAGTGCTCACTGCGGTAACGCACCATCACGTTCTCTGTTTGCTGTGGGTGGGACACCGGGCTTTTGGACTTTATATTTGCGTATACACCTGTAGGGAATTCTATTGCGAACACAATGACACCAAAATGAAAGATCTAGGACGAGAATTAGGATGTCCAAAGTGATGAAAGTGTACACATTTTATTGCTCTTGCACACTCCCGGGTAACACGCTCTCACTTTCTCGCCTGGCTTTTGGGCTTTATATGCATTTAGTCCTGTAGAGAATTCTATTGTGAACACATCGATACCAAATTGAAAAACCTAGAACGAGAATTGAGATGACAAAGTTGAAGAGAGTATACACATTTCGGTGTGACCACGCTCTATTGTAATGAGAGGCGCCTTAGGGTGGTGCAGCACTCTCTTTCTGGTAATTTTCATCTTGTCGGCGGGTGGAGTGCGCCGCTGTTTTTGACATTACATGCATATACTTCTGTTGGGAATTCTATTGCGAACACATTGATGCCAAAATGAAAGACCTAGGACGTGAATTGGGGTAACCAGAGTGAAAAGAGTGTACACATTTTATTGGTCTTACTCGCTCCCGGGTAACACGCTCTCACTTTCCCTGTTTGTTGTGGATGGTACGCTGTGCATTTGGACTTAATATACCTTTAGTCCTGTAGAGAATTCTATTGTGAACACAATGATACCAAAATGAAAGACCTAGGACTAGAATTGAGGTGACCAAAGTGAAAGGAGTGTAAACATTTTATCGCTCCTGAGCCACGCTCCCAGGTAACACGCTCTCACTTTCTCTGTTGTGGATAGTACACCTAGTGTTTGGACTTTATATGCCTTTAGTCCTATAGAGAATTCTATTGCGAACACATTGATACCAAAATGAAAGACCTAGGATGAGAATTGAGGTGACCAAAATGAAAGGAGTGTTCACGTTTTATCAGTCTTGCGCGCTCCCGGGTAACACACTCTCACTTTCTCTGTTTGTTGTGGATGGTACGCTAAGCATTTGGACTTAATATGCCTTTAGTCCTATTGCGAATACAATGATACCAAATTGAAAAACCTAGGACGAGAACTGAGGTAACAAAGTTGAAAAGATTATACACTTTTCAGAATTACCGTGCGCTCCCACGGAATGCCCAAACCCACCCAGAGTAGTGTGGTGCATGCGCGTCCAGAGCATCAAAGTGTTATCTTAAAAATACATTTTATACTGAATATAATTTTTTTCTCTAACTAGAATACAGTACATATGTTTATCTTACCTTTATGGAGGACTCTTGATGGCGTATGGGAGATGGTGAGGAGGAGGGAGGAGGAGAGGTGTTACTGTTTGGAAGGGAAGTCCCCTTCCATTATAACATCAGGCAGTAAGGCCTTCTCTGCGGTACACACACTGGCACGTTTTGCCTGCATACCACTAGGACCTGCTTCTGGCTCACTGCTTGATTTTCTCACTAGAAATTGTTCCATTGAAGATTGTTTTTCCCTTCTTTTCATCACTCGTCTGTAGTGAGGCCTCACATTGTCCTTTAAAAGGTCAATACAACGGGCTGTTACAGCTTTATCTGGGTGATTCCTTTTAGCAAAACTTTGCAGTCCTTCCCATACTGCACACATTTTCTTAATTAATAGTGAAGGGACATCCTCTAATGCCGCCTATGCCTCCTCCTCTGAAGATTTATTATACTGCCTAGTTAGTTCAACAACACTAGTACCATTTTCATGTTTACGTATGATCTCTTGTTTTTCCTCTATGGTCATTCTTACATGTGTTTTCATATGTTGAACCTTACTACTGACTTTATTAGGACCCATGGCATGATATATAATAATCAGTTTTATGTTCAAAAAGCAAAAAATCACCATAAAAACGGAATTTCTTATAGGCATGATCGTCACTAAGCAGGCAGCTCTAGTAAACTGAGGCAGGTCGGCCTGCGTGACCGGGAACCATGCGCTCGATCGACCCAAACTTGTACCAACAAATATCGTTAGTCGACGACACTATCGTAAGTCGAGTCGCATTTTTTGCTCAAATTTACATCGTAACTCAAAATTATCGTAAGTCGGGGCAATCGTAAGTCAAAGTGCCACTGTATATAATAAAAAACATATAATACAAAGTGTGTGTGTAATTACCTAAGTGTAGTTATAGGATGAGAACTATGCATATGGTGTCCTGTCTTCCCGGTACTGTACTCTTGTTGACCAGACCACACACTAGAAAATGAAGGGACGACGACGTTTCGGTCCGTCCTGGACCATTCTCAAGTCGATTCATTTTCTAGTGTGTGGTCTGGTCAACATACTTCAGCCACGTTATTGTGACTCATCGCCTGCATACTGTACTCTTTGTTGTATGACGATTTGAAACTACTGTTGATAGTGTATGTGGTGCACTATCAACAGTAGTTGATGTGATCATTTAAAATCTGAAAATCCAAAATCCTTTTTTTTAAAACATTATTTGGTACAGTATTTATATATAAAAATAAAATGTACTACAAATCTGCTTGCAGTACAATATCAGGGTTCAGTAGAACTTCGGTTTCAACTCTTTTAACCCTGTCGTAGCTCAGTCGATTAAGGCATTGTCTGGGATGCTCCCGGACGCAGGTTCAAATTCTCGTCACGGCCCTTGTGGATTTGTTCATTTGATGCATCACGTTAGTGTGATCTCTGTGTGTAAAGTGTTAGTTTATAATGCCTTTAACATTCTTTCCCAATATTTCTCTCCTTTTCTGGCTTTCCTGATGCCTCCCATGGAAGTTGGAGTTGAGGAAATTATAATGATGATAAAATATATATATTAAGATAAAAAGGTAGATTCTGTAGGTCAGGTGATCTGGTTGAGTATCTTTTTTCCCACTGTTCTTCTAAAGTTATGATAACTTGAAAACTTATTATCAATAATGTATAATTTTATTATGGATAGCCTGTACTCATGCAAAAAGTAGTTTTATAATTATTTTAAGATACTGTTTCTCCAGTTTGAGTGTATTAACATTGCGTTAATTTATAACTTTGGTTTCTTTTGCAGATGATTCGGATATATATAATGCTCAGTTGGAGAAGTATATTCGTGTCAATGGGGTTCCACCCAAGTGGTTTACTGCTCCTTGGTTGTTTGTGGAATGCTATATGTATACACGCATCCATGAAGCCTTCTACCTATGGTAAATTTAGCTTTTTAATTGTATTGAAGAAATTATGTAACTACTATATATATAGTAAGTATCAGGCTGGTCTTCAGTAGTTCCCATGTGCATTTGTTCTAGTATCACAAAGACATCTTTAAAACTAATCATCCCCTTAACTGGTACAGGCCTACTGAACACTAGGACCAGACTCTGGCATGTTCATAGCAGTAAGGGGGCATTGGGATCCAAGATCAACCTCATAACTGAGTAAAACTGCCCAGAAAGTACAGGCAAAGCTAAACAAACTGTATCTTGATGACAGAGAAAGATGATGGATATCCTCCATCATGGGGCTTTTCCTCACTGCATTGGTGACAAGTAGTAAATGTTAGATTACATATGCATAGGGTCTAATAAGTGAGGTTACTAACCAGACAGATGGGGGGAGGGATTAATAAACACAGTAACATCCAACATTATATATTGTGATACATTACAGACTGGTAAGTAATACATGAGACCAAACTGGTCCAGTGTTTAGTCAGGACACTAGATCGAATGTTGGGCTGTTGGCAGGACATTGTATTGGTGACTGGAATGTGGAACAAGGTTAAGAGTTGTTTCCTAATGGTGTGCAGTGTGTGCTTTTTGATGTTGACGGTCTCTTAAAAGGCTGTAGTTTCGTGGTGCACCGATTTCCAATTGGCCACCTGTGGGCCCAAAGTACTTACTTCAAATGACCATGGACCCTTCTTATTCTTCCTGGGAGATGTATTATCTAGAAATTGCTATAGATCATATAAAAGGGAAGAGCTCTGATATAGGAAGAGCCTCTAACTCTTTAAATATTTTTTATTGTGTTAATAAAAGTGTTGTAGAAATTCTTAACTTTAAGAAAAGTTTGAAGTGTGGGAAAGTCATTCCCATTTTAGAAAAGTTGTTTGGCCCGTTTCATTTTGGGAGTGGTGAGTTTTGATAATCTTTGTACATTGAAGGTTTGAACTTGGCTCAGCAAAGATGAAAGAAACTATATTCTGAAAATAGCTATGAAACCATATCTCCTTAATTATTTATTGGAATGAGTTCCATAAATATTTAATAGAACATCTTGAGCTAAAGAAAAAGGTTTGGGCATGTAAATATTGATGGGCCTGATTCATTTGTACCATTTGAGGGTCTTGGCCCTGTCTTTGAAAGATAAGCTTATAAGGGCTTTGTTCATTTGATATATCAGGCTATTGTGATTTCTGTGTATTGAAGTAAGGGCATATAGGTAGAACATTTGATTGACAGAGTTCGAGTGTATGGGGGAATTGTGTGAAAACCTGACTGAGCTTCGAAGAAGCTTCAGGATCATAGTGAAGGCAGTAGCACTCCAGGTTGCAATTCTTTTAACCATGTTGTGGCACAGTTGACTAAGGTGCAGCTGGAAACATCCCGTGTGTATAGGTTCGAACCCTCATCACGGCCCTTGTTGATTTGTTAACACCTCAAACTTGTCATTCCTTGTTGGAAACCATATGCATGTACAGTACTGTATGTAGAAATCATGGTCAACAACATGCAGGAACCAAGAAAAGCCATACACCAGACAGGCACATCATCAAGCATGATAACATAAATGAGTGCGGTGAACCATCCCCTCCTTTGCCGCAGGGACTAGCATGACTGCTATTATTCCTTCATCAGGAATAATACCACACTAGAATGGCATGATAGCGGTGCCGTGTTTATTCCATTGCTACTAAATCAACTCTTAATTCAAGTGAGCAGCAGCCCCTTAACATATTTTCAAGCATTGACAAGACAACCTTTGATTTTAAGATATTTAAAATGCTATGTCAGCTCATCGAATGTCGAGCCAAAATAATCAAAGACCTGGTGTGCCTGGAGGTTTCCGAGCTGTAGGCCTGGCTCTACCCGGGCTGTAGACTCGGCTTTACCTTGGTTTTCTTTGTGCCCCAGCTCTTTCTGGACTCAAGTTCTCTGCTTTTTCCTAGGTTCCAAGTCCAGCTATTTCCAGGTTCTTTCTCGTGCTTTGTTTCATCTCCGACCTGCCCGTGTGCTGTCCTGGTCCTTGGACAGGGTGCTCTTCTATCTCTCTTCTCCTCAGTTTGTGGTGGCCCCTATGGTTCAAGATTGTTTTTCAAGGCTCTCTTTTTGTTGGCATTGGCCTCTGGGGGTCGGATTGGTAAGCTTCATGCTCTCCTCCGGGGCAGGGGTTTCTGCTTGTTCGGTCCTGGTCAGTGGTTTGTTCGTTTGCAGCCTTCTCCTTCTCTTCTGATGAAGAATGAGACGGCTGCTTTCCGGAAGAGTCCTCGAGTCATTGATGCTTGGTTAGTCAGGCTGAAGGGGCATTATGAGTTGTGTCCGGCTCTTCGCTGTGACCTGCGCGCCACGGCTTCTGTGGCCAGGAATGTACTTGGGGTTGTTCCGGTTTCCCTCGTTCCCTGTTCCAGGGCTTGGGTGTCCTAGGTCGTCCACAGGGTTATTAAGTCTAGCTAGCCTGCAGTCTATCCTTTTGCCATGATGTTCGGAAGGTTGCTGCTTTGGCTGTCGTTTTCGTCAACATGTCTTGGGCTGGTATTCAGGCGCGGGGATTTTGGCAGTCGAACGGGGTCCTGGCCGCCATTATTTAGTCAACATTCCTGGTCCTGGGCATTCGTGTGTTGCTTTTGGTCGTAGGTTCCAGCCAGTTGTCTTGACTTCGGGATGAGGAGCGAGGGGTGGCTGCCTCCTGGGTTACCTTACCTTGAGGTTACCTTGAGGTGCCTCCGGGGCTTAGCATCCCCGCGGCCCGGTCGTCGACCAGGCCTCCTGGTTGCTGGACTGATCAACCAGGCTGTTGGACGCGGCTGCTCGCAGCCTGATGTATGAGTCACAGCTTGGTTGATCGGGTATCCTTTGGAGGTGTTTGTCAAGTTCTCTCTTGAACACTGTGAGGGGTCTGCCAGTTATGCCCCTTATGTGTAGTGGAAGCATGTTGAACAGTCTCTGGCCTCTGATGTTGATAGAGTTCTCTCTCAGAGTACCTGTTGCACCTCTGCTTTTCAACGGGGGTATTCTGCACATCCTGCCATGTCTTCTGGTCTCACATGATGTTGGGTAAGTTCTTCTTTTCCTTATCTTTGGTTAGGTAGCTCCAAGGAGCCAAAGGGCCTCCCCACAGAAAACCAGTGTTGAATGTAATGAACGCCATTTTCTGGGTGAGCCCCGGAGGCTCCCTGGCACTCTCCCAGGGAGTGCCAGGGAGCACTCCGGGCACTCAGGTGAGTGCACTCTATAGCACTCACACTCCTCCCTCCAGTCGGTGGTTTTCACATTGTTTTGATGCCTAGCCTCCAAACTGGGGTTGCTGGGTAGCCGGCATGGAGTCCTGGGATGGGGGGAAGGGAGCTCGGACAAGCGGCGTCGGTGTGTGACGTTTGCTTGTTTCCTTGGAAATTGGGGGAGTTCTGCCCCTATGTTCGGTTCGGTTTTCTGTTGTAATTTTCTTACCATGTAGGGTGTTTTTTGTTATGCCTACCTTTCTGTGGGGAACCCCTTCGGTTTCCTGGATCTATAGGACTGATATACGCTTTATTAGTTTGGGCTTCGTTCAGTGGAGTTCTGCCTACTGGGGACCAATGCTGGAACCTTGCCCCCTCAGAGAGGCACTGGGAGCAATGGCTTAAGGAAACCCCCTTGTATATGGGGTTATTTCTTGTCTGCCATCGACCTGGGTTAGTCACCAAGAAAGGTAGTCATCTCAAAACAAGCCCCACATGGTAGGAAATTGCTCTTCGGCTCTTAGGGGCTGGTTTCTTCAGAGTGCCTCGTCTGCTATTTTCTCCCTGTTTAGCTCTCCGTGCAGTTCGCTACTGGGGTGTGTCCATCTTCCTGGCGGACGGCCTGTCCCAGCTCTTTCCCCTATCCACGGAATAGACGGTCGACACAGACTCCTTCAGCTCCTCTGCCGGTCGCACGGGCCCCAGAGGTGGAACTCTTCACGTCAGCGTGGTTCCGGCGTCTCTCGAGATACTGTATGTGGTGCTCTTCCCTGACTGCGGAGCTGTTGCGTTAGGGACACTTCCACAGGACTGGTCGTGGTACGGTTCCATGTACCTCTTCCCCCCCAGTCCAGCTGTTGCTTTGGTTTCTGGCTTGGGTTGGAGTCTTCTCATGGGAGAGTCATCCTTGTAGTCCCATGGTGGCCTGCCAAACCTTGATTTCAGGCACTGCTTGCTCGGTGTCCAAACTGGGGCATTTTCCGCGGCTCCGCCTCTTTTAGCAGATCGGCCCAGTCCGGTATGTGGCTGGTTCAATCTACTCCTCCGCTTGTCGTGTCCTTTTTTTTTTTTTTTTTTACGCGGGTGTATCACCAATTGTATGATAATAAGGTGGCTTCTCTCGTGGTGTTGCACCTGCGGTCCTCATCTCGACGACAGTATGAGGTGTCTTGGTGGTCTTTTCCCCATTTCCTATCCTCATATTGTGCAGCGCTGGCAGAGCACTCCAGTTTGCGTTCCATAAGCTTTCTCGAGCTTTGTTGCACCTCCGGTCTACTCATGCACTGTCTGAGCCATCCTGATCTTTGGCCAGGTTGCTCTCTTTTTCTCCCTTCTCAGTTTATGGTGGCCCCTTCGGTTCGAGTTTGCTTCCAGAAGGCTCTGTTTCTGTTGGCATTGGTCTCTGGGGGTCAGGTCAGTCTGGCTGCTTGAAGGCGGTGCACAACTCTTCCGGGATGCATGGTGCTCGAGTGCGCACTTGCTTTGATGTCATCGCTCATTTTCTCGGCTCATTTACAACATTGGTAAGTAAAATTAATTTTTTTTAAGGCAACACAATTGAACATTTTTATAAGATGAAATAATTTTTTGGATTTTTTTGTTTTCTTGCACCTGGGCATGTTGCAGGCTAAAATTGCAAGAGCAGCCCAGGGGTTAATGAATGGTTGAGTTGCTTGATTTCTCAATTTTTTTCTCGTGGAGATGTGGGTAATTTTGTGAAATATTTTGACTTCCTGTGCAGTTTACTTTGGTCATAGATTGATATTTGATACCATGTGCTCCTCATCTATATGACAGGAACATAATATGTATACCAATTGGTGTCTGCTTTCGTTGGGATGAGAAAGTTTTGGGAATCTGATGGTGGGGGTAGCTCTAAGGTACCAGTGTAGATAGCCCCTTATAGGTGCTACCTAGTGAGGGATGTTTCATTACACTCAATGCTCCATTTTTTTATGGAAACACTTCTCAAGGTTTTGGCTTACATAAAATCCTTTGTTGAAAATTAATTTGTTTATACTATAAAGTACTGTATACAATATTCAAAATGTATATAAATAATTTTAAATGAACTGAAAATTTTGTTTCAGTAATTCTCTTAAAGACTTTGACCCCTTCATGGATCAGAAGAGAAAAAGTTTGAGAGATTCCATGCAAGCAACCGAGGCTCTAGCAGCACACGTGTTGGCTCTGTGTAGAAATATGTCTACGCTCTCACATGACCAGTTGAAACATCATGTTATTAAGCTGGTAGAGGTAAGGAATAATTAACACTACTATTCTTAGCCTTGAAATATTTTTAATTCCTATATTATGAAACTGAGAGTTCATGGATGGTTTCCTTTAGTTAAACAGTTTGTATCTATAATATGATATATAGTACTGTACAGAGGAAGGTCTTACGACCAAAGATAATGTTTACGACTACAGGAGAAGTGGCAGGTATGAAAAGAGAAAGATCGACCCTTGAGGATCACCATAAATGGTGCTAAACAGATGGAAGACAGACAAACTGAAACTGAACCTCATAGAGGCAACATGTCTAAATGTGACTTGGAACAAAGAAGTAATCAAATCTTTTGTCTACACGGTGATAGGGGGTAGGCATGCCTGTGAAATCGTACAAAAAGGCAAACCAACAAAATCACTAGAGAAAGAACAAGGGGAGGTCATCTTGAGATGATTTCGGGGCTTTTTAGTGTCCCCGCTGCCCGGTCCTTGACCAGGCCTCCACCCCCAGGAAGCAGCCCGTGACAGCTGACTAACTCCCGAGTACCTATTTACTGCTAGGTAACGGGCATTCAGGGTGAAAGAAACTTTGCCCATTTGTTTCTGCCCCGTGCGGGAATCGAACCCGAGCCACAGAATTACGAGTCCTGCGCGCTATCCACCAGGCTTTCGTGGCCCATGGGGAGAGGGAACATGTTCATGAAAATTATACACACTAACATGCATGGAGTGAGATAAAAAATACTGGAGTGAAATGATGTAATACAGCTGCAGACGCCAGACATTGTTGCACTCGTGATACATTCATGTATGAACACGTTAAATAAGCTACGAGGATGAGGGAAAATGATGTTCCCTCCATGCTAGATTTAGCAGTTGCAACATCAAGATCTGCAGGTTGGTACAAGAATTCAACCAACTACAAACCACTTATTTTGATGAAAGGGAGCAGTAGAACAACAGAAGTACATTTACATCGTATCAGGCTTGGATACCCATGTGCATGGGAAATAGGCTTACAGGTTCCAGAAGATGAGAAGAAATATCAGCATTGTGGAGAAATGCCCGACAAACCACTGAAACATTATCTAACAGTGCAGAGTTACAAACCCAATAAGATTTCAACTAAGATTCAACAGAGCAGAAGTTGTTAAACACATGGGGCATAATCTTACTGAAGCGAACATACAAATCATGAATACTCATACTCTTTAAGTAAAACAGAAACAAGAAACAAGTAACACTTAATGGGCCAGTCAGAGGCTTAGCACAAATTATTAATTTCATTATAGAACTCCTGCACAGGCTGCGCAGGAATATCCCTGAAAAAAAAAACAGGAAAAAGGAAGAGATAATTGACATGAAGTACCTTCCTCCCCTTAGGCAAAAGTGACCATGTTCTTTTGGGAATAAAGTATGCAATGCATTATAATCTAGAAGAGAATTAGGAAGTTGAAGCAATTGAAAAAAATGGTTTCAAGAGAGGACATTATGAGGAACTTAGAAAGTTCTTTAATGAATTTGATTGGAAACACTTGCTGTAAGGCAAGGAAGTAAATGAGATGTATGAAAGATTTCATGAAACATATGGTGAAGGCACAAACAAATTTATACCAAAACAGAGATGCAGAACTAGAAAACAGTTCTGGTTCAATAGACTGCGAGGACTGCAAGAGGGCCAGGGACTAAAATACACAAAAATTGAATCCATATAGAAAGAGGCCGAACCCTCAATCATATCTGCAATGCAAAGAAGCGTGAAACTACATGGCAGTGAGAAGAGAGGCAGAAAGAAATTGAGAAAGGGGTAGCAGACAAATGTAAAACAAAACCAGGCCTATTTTATAAATTCATTAAAAGCAAATTGCAGGTAAAAGGATAATATTCAGAGGTTAAAAATGGGGAACAGATTCATGGAGAAAGAAATGTGTGAAACATTAAATGAACAGTTCCAAAGTGTTTGTACAAAATGAAATCTTCAGAAAACCAGACACAATAAGAATGCCAGAGAACAACAGAGCACAAAGAGGTCGCACATTTTTCCACTTCGTCTAGAGACGTCTAGAGATGAAATACTGTACCAGTTCCAAGCACTCCTCTGAGGATTTTTAGCCGAGAAGCTGCTTAAACAGGTGTTTGCACCTGTGGTACTCTCAGATCGCAGCGTGGTGCACCAAAATATCTTCAGCTACAAGCATAAGGAAACTGCCAGTAGATAAAACTATATTCAGACAGAAGGACAATACTTTTATAATCCTGTGGAAAGATAAGATAGTTGTTTCACTCATCACAACTTGCCACAATGCAGATACACAAGAAACGAAAGGCAATCTGTGACTACAATAACCACATGAAAGGTGTTGATCACTTCAACTAAATGTTCAAGTTTTATCATTTCACATGGAAATGTCACAAGTGGCCGAAGAAAATCATGTTCTACTTTCTGCAAATGGCTATCCATAGTACTTTTGTTATACAAGTACTACACAACTGATACAAAAAAACTCTCATTGCTCCAGTTCCATGAAGTAATAATTTGGTCACTGTTGAACTTTGAGTATAAAAATTGGCCTCTCCAAAATGACATCATGATACATGCTGGTGATGTACATGATGATGAGAGCAGATTTACTGGCGACAACGTTGTAGCCCCCGGACCATCAGGTGTGAGGCGGCCACTCTTCCCTTTTTCACCTCTAAATGAAGAATCATCTGACTCAGAAGATGAGGTTCAGAAGACCTAGTGGTACTGCTGCTAGGAGAAGACCTCATATTGTGGATAAACCCGAACATCTCAACAGAAATTTGAACCATTCCCTAATTTGCATCGAGAAAGGTCTGAAGTGTCATTTCTGCTACAAGTCTGGTATAAGGAAGGACACCAGGTATAAGTGCAAGTTGTGTGGTGTGGCACTGTGTCCTGCACCATGCTCACAAAAATTGAGGTGATAAAACTGAAAAGAGTATACAGTACAGTACCCATTTTAGTGCGAGTGCACGCTCACAGGAAACGCCAGGCCAACCTTGGGGTGGCCTGGGGCTCATGCGCCGTGCCAGGCAAAGTGTTAGGTGAATGTATTAACTAAATAAATTTTAAATTATAAAACTTTAGAAAATTTAAAGACATTAGGGTATAAAGGAGATTCTGAACAATAAGCATTAAATTTTGTTTGGAAAGTTATAAGAGATGGAGAAATCTTTAGAAATTAATTAAATATGTATAATTCCTTCTTCTTTTGATATCCTGATCTCGTCTGCCAAGACAATTTATAATAATGACAGTAGCTAAATGTTTCCATCAGGTACCTTAGCATAGACAGTACCCCCTTGGGCAAACATGGGAAAAAACATTGATGTAATATTGAATCAATGTTGATAATGTTAATTTAACATTACTCAGGTATATTTTACTTACTGGGATTTGATCTTATATTTCTCTTTACATGTTAGCTGGTACTTAGAATAACTGTATGAAGGACTTTTCCAGGTTAGTGTGTGGGGAAACAGATGTGATCTCAGCATATCCGGTGGTGCTGACAGATCTCAACACTCTGATCTATTACTCTCTCTAAATGAACTACTGCCAAACATGATTGTAAATGATTCAGATTCGCTGTGGCAGCTTCTAGAAGCTCTTCCAGAAGACCAAAGGGATGTTGGTGAGTTAGTTTTCAGTGTGTTTGTTCTTTTCATAACATTCATGTACTGTATACTGTACATGGTATGTTATTTCACAAAAATATTTGGACTGTCAAGACAGCAAACAAGAGGCTCCAAAGTAAAACCTCGTAATCTGCTAAGCTGTTTGTAAGTCCTACATCCAAGTGCACATGGAAAAAGTATTGAAATCTTATGATGATCAGTTGCATATGGCAATCTGAGCACAGGAGTCTGGTCAGGGGGGTCTGGTAGCTGAGTGGACAGCGCGCAGGAGTCGTAATCCTATGGCGGGTGTTCGATTCCCGGACTAGGCAGAGACAAATGGGCAGAATTTCTTTCACCCTGATGTCCTTGTTACCTAGCAGTAAATAGGTACCTGGGAGTTGACAGCTGTTATGGGCTGCTTCCTAGGGGAGGGGGGGAGGGTAATAGTAGTTAGTAACAGTTGATAGATTGACAGTTGAGAGGCGGGACGAGCTCAACCCCTGCAAGCACAACTTGATGAATACAGGAGGAAATTGCAGATAGCAATTGGAGCAATATAAAGGTTAATGAGATCAATTGATGACTGGTAAGCAGGCAAGAATTTTAAAGTTTATTAATATGATAAATTATGAAAAGCAAATTATTATTATAGAAATAGGCTCCTGGCATTATTTTGAACAGTGCCGTGGAAAAGGCCATAGAACATATTTAACAAGAGGGGGTATCAATGGTATTTTCTTTAATACTGCTCTAATCTCCTCATTAAGGAATTTCTTAGATGGCCATAATACCACAAAAAAAAAAATTGGGGCTGATAGAAACACCATTGGGCCTATTTAACCCTTACATCACTTTCAAGCACTTGACCCATGTACTCTAATCAGCTGGAGATGAGTTAAGATGCCCTATTTTATTTGAGTCCTGTCAATTGGTTTTGAGGAATGGTTAGTCCTGTCATCATTTGACTCAAGGGAAACTAGAGTTTCCCTAGGACTCTAGTCCTAGAGAAACATCATTTGACTCTATGATTGTTTGCTATATTAAAAAAAAATCCCGAGTCTCTTGGTTTCCTTCCTGGACTTTAGTAAAAAGATGTGGAATATGTCTGGCGCATCACCATCTAGCAAATGAACCTGCAGGGCAGCCATGCTAAGAACATTGATGCCATGCAAAATTGTAAGGACTCTAAAGGACCTGGAAGACCTTAATGATGAAGAGGAATATATAACAAGCTAATGTAATTATCAGGAGAAAGCACTAAGCCATTATGACTGTATAGTACTTGGAAGTAGTTAATTTGAATATTATCCCTCAGACATAGAATGCTTCCAACCACACGGGGGTTTCTATAGGCTCCTCGTGCCTCTGTGAGGAGGCCAGGCTGGCAAGTGGTCCCCAGTAGGTCCATAGAACTCCATACACATGACTGATGCCAAAGTTTGACGTTACCATGTCAGCCTGGATAGCTCCGGGGAGTCTCTGGATCTCACGCAGAAAATGGCGTTTCATTACATTCAATGCTGGTTTTTTGTTTCTCTTGCCTCCAGTTGTTGAGTCGGGGAGCTTCATACTCTCCTTCAGCGGCACGGTTTCTGTTCTTTTGGCACTGATGGGTGTCATGTTTATTTGCAGTTCCTTTTTTCTGGTCAAGAATGAGTTGGTTTCCAAATGGGTCCTTTGGAAGAAAATGCAGAATAGAACCAGTGAAGAGCAGGGGTGCCATAGGCACAATCTGAGAACACAGTTTAAACATCAGAGGTCCACGGTTGTTCAACACCCTCCCAGTGAGCATAAGAAATATTGCCGGAACAACCGTGGACACCTTCAAGAGGAAACTAGATTGTTTCCTCCAAGGAGTGCCAGACCAACCGGGCTGTGGTGGGTATGTGGGCCTGCGGGCCGCTCCAAGCAACAGCCTAGTGGACCAAACTCTCACAAGTCAAGCCTGGCCTCGGGCCGGGCTTGGGGAGTAGAACTCCCAGAACCCCATCAACCAGGTATCAACCACAGCAGGCGCCAGACGAGGTCTGCTCCGCCCCAGCTGTCAGGCAGGAGTTGCCACAAAGATATTATTACCTAATTATTTCAATATGTCTGATTGATTTTTTTTTTGTTTTTTGCAGTAATATTATTCAATAGTGTGTATTGTGATATATTTATATAATAAAATGTGTGAACCATTGCTGTACTCAAAATTATGGTGTGCATATTAGTGATTCAATTATGTTCATAAAACAATAAACATAGTTTTGCTGTTATTACACTATATACACAGGTTATATATAAGTATCTGCATGTTTTGTTCACCATAACAAACCACTAAGTTGGTATTGCGAGTCAAAAAGCAACGAAGAGTGACCACCATTCGCCAGCCAGCCAGCCACTCGCCACAGCTCCCTCCCTCCCTTACCTCCTCACTCTCCAACATACTCCTCCCACCATACTGTTTTTGCTTTTATTCACTATACACAAACGTTATATATAAGTATCTACATGTTTGTTCACCATTGTACATCTAAGCTAGTATGGTGAGTTCAGGCAATAAGAGACGTAGCTACACACACAGTCAGCTGGTGGTTGCCGCCCTCACTGATTCAAGGTCAGACGCACTAATATTTCTCCTCTAACAATACTGTTTGTGGTGTTATTACACTATATACACACATTATATATAAGTATCTACATGCTTTATTCACCATACCTGTACAAATAAGCTGGTATGGTGCCCAAAAACCATAGTGGTCACCAGTACACATGACGTGTCATGCAGACAACATACCTCCTTCACCAAAATGGCAGCTCCCAACATACTCCTATTGCTGTTATTACATTCTATACACACGTTATATATAAGCATCTACATTTGTGTTCACTATAGCGAACCACAAAGCTGGTATGGTAAGTCCAGTCAATAAAAGGTGGCCCCACACAGTCAGAAGACGAAGCCACCTTCCTCCCTCTCTCCCTCAGCATTACTCCTCCTACCATGGAGCACAGCGTTAAATATCACCAAAATCCTGCTATTATCAGAATCCTGGTCAGTTTTATCACAGTCAGGGGTCTTCTGTAATACTGTCATCGAAAAATAATAGCATGTACAGTAGAACCTCGAGTTACGACCGCCTCAAATGGTGACCAATTTGGGTAACAAACATCCTGATCCCGACAATTTGTCTCGTTAGGCGACTTCTCATTTGAATAACGGCAGCACCACATGGTGGGATCGCGGGCGGCTTCTCGCACTTTCTCGGACGCCTCCGACGATGCAAATAAATTATTTTTCTTTGTTTAAAGATGCTATTGATGCTGGGATGTTGCAAAGCATTGATTTTTTTGTAGAAAAACGAAAATAATTTTTTTAAAGAAAGAACAAATGTCAAAAAGGTTCGTTAGGTGTTTGTCAGATAGGCTGCTTCATATTTCTTAAAAAAAAATGAAGAATTTTAAAAAACAGAACAAATGTCAAAAAGGTTCGTTCGGTGTTTGACAGGTAGGCTTCTTCATGTTTCTTAAATAAAGAAAAACAGTTGAAACAATTTGAAGAACGGACAAATGCCATAAAGGTTCGTTCAGTGATTGTTGGGTAGGCTGCTCCATTATTGAGAAATAAATGAAAAATACAAAACAAATGGAATACATTTGAAACACAAAGATTGTCATAATGGAGCAGCCTACCCGACAAACACTGAACGAACCTTAATTGCATTTGTCCGTTCTTCAAATTGTTTCAACTGTTTTTCTTTTTTTAAGAAACAAGAAGCCTACCTGTCAAACACCAAACGAACCTTTTTGACATTTGTTCTGTTTTTCAAAAAATTTCATTTTTTTTTTATTATTATTTTTTTTTTTTTTTTAAGAAACATGGAGCAGCCTACCTGACAAATACCAAATGAACCTTTTGCTATACAAAAAATGAAAAAATTGAATAAATTTGAAGAAAGAAAAATGTCATAAAGGTTTGTTCAGTTCAAGTACTGTATGTTTATTGAGATAAGAAAGAAATACATCTCAAAGGGATAGAGTAGCTTAGGCTATTTCTACCCCCCCCCCCCTCCCTTTGTTCAGTGTATGTAAGGTAGGCTGCTCCATTATTTAAAACATTGAATATCATATTGATGTTTTTCGGTGGTAGAACGGATTATTTCTATTTACATTCTTTTCAATCGGGAAGTTCATTTTGAATGACGTCAGTTTCACATGACGACCATGGCGCCAGAACGGATTAAAGTTGTTATTCGAGGTTCCACTGTACATATATATTTTGACATTTTTAGGCGATGCTGTCGGCTCATGCTGCGTGCGCCATTTTTGGTGGCTCACTCAGCACTGAGACACTCACACCCAGGAATGTTGCCCACGATTTTTTTCTAGGTGGCGTTTGTTAACTATCGGTCGTGGCTGGACTATAGCTGCCCCTATCCCTCGCAGGGCATTTAAAATCGTGTGCTTGAGCCTCGGTTGTCTATATATGTATTGCGCTGTTTCGGTAAAGTTACTCCCATCGTCTATATGTATGTATGGCGCAGTCTAACCAGTGCTTTTCCTTATTAATGGATATAGACAAAAATAAGTCACAGTTTCATGTCATCTTTTGCAGATGACAAAAATCAGCATGAATACATTGAAAACTACAAGCTGATAGTTTTTGATTGCAGAAAATAACATGATGTTTAACAGTGATAATTTCCAAGTCCTTAGGTAAAATTGAAGACCTTAAACAAAATATAGGGTACAAAACACAATCAAATCTGTCCACAGTGGGAAGCATCGTGTAAAGGTTCTGGGAATAATGTGTGGCAACCTAACATTTAGGGACCATAACCAAGCAAATACTGTTTAGCATCAGCCAGGAAAATGACAGGACAGATTACGAGAACCTTCAAATCCAGGGATCCCATCACTCTGCTCATACTATTCAAATCACTTTTACTGTGTTGTCTTGAGTACTGATCGGTACTCACTTTCCCCTTTAGAGCAGGAGAGATTGCAGAAATGGAGGGAATACAGAAAATAT